AAGCCTGATGACCGATTAGACGGAGGGTGTGGACATTGAAGGCTCCAATATGTAATTTGGGGCGTGGTTTAAGGAGACCGAGGATGCTGTTCTGTGGACTCAGATCGTTGTCGAAGGCTACAGAGCTAGGAGAAATCGAAGATGATGTAGTATCGTTAGTTGAGAGACGTGAAGGAAGATTAGAAGGTAATGACGAGGGAGGTGGATAGCAGTCAGAAGAAACTTGAGTGCTGACAGAGTTGTGAGGGCGGTTGACACTTCCCGGCTGCCCACATCGTGGAAGGCTATTTCTTCTTAAGGTACCTGAAAGAGATTTGTGCGACCTCAGAGCCCATCCGACATCTGCTTGAGGCCTGTCACCCATAGCCTTTTGAGTATGATTACTTCGAACTTTTGTATTTTTGGGGCCGGATGGTCGAAAGGAAACGACAAGTGAACCAATACCGCCGACCCGGCAGACCGCGGGGCATGGTGGAGTGTGTTATTTTTGGAGCCGACCTTTTCTAACCCTCTCGCCTTCCAGTGAGAAGGTAGCATCAGCATGGCGCTGCTGCTCATCCAAAGGAAACAAACGCCTTACCGCTGTCACACCCCATCCAGCTAGCAGCAGTACGACATCGCCCTCAGACCCCCATCATAGTGTAGCAATTTACACCACAACGGTAGCTGCTTTTCGTCTAACCACTATCCAACAGACCCTTCTGGTATGTTGGGACCTCCTCGAAACAAGTGTTCCACCAGCATTGCTCTCTGAGTGATTGTGATATGCAAGCCCGACCACCACGTCAAGGTGGCAGCTATCGGTCGGGAGCAGGGAGAGGAGGATGGTGCAGCAGAAGATGAACCAGTGCGATGCAATGCATGGATGGGAAACGAGAAGAGGAACTGAACACAAGCTATGTAAAACTCTACACTGGGCAAAGAAGTGAAGGAGATTGCGCGGAAAGGCAATAGACACTTCTACAACACATTGGCAAGTGAAGTATAACAGGCTACAGGTGAGAGGGACCACATGACAACACTGTTTCAAATAACCAGGTTAATATCATGGAGGGGAGAGATCAACGCAGACGAAACCGATGAAAGATAGTGAAGGAAGCCTAGTTACCAAGGAGAGAGGAGAATCAAAGGAAACGATGAGCTGAACACATCAAAAAACTCTTGAATCGACCACCACACCACCACCACCACCACCACCTACAACTCGTCAAGAAATATCACCAGCAACTACGGAACTGTCAGTTAACACAAAGCCTCCGACAAAAGCCGAAGTGAAGTTTCGAACGCCGTAAAGTTGATGAGATCCGGGAAAGCAGCAGGATGAGATAGAATTCCTCCAGAAGTACTGAGAACAGACGAAAAGATAACAGTAGAGGACATGCTCACACCACTAACGCAGAAGGAAGGAAGGAAAGGTATCTGGCAATTTAATTTTAGGAAGGGCTATCTTGTCAAACGACGTAACAAATGTGTTCTAAGTCTTAGCAAGAACTGGTGTGGAATCATTCTCCTGTCCACCCCAAACATAATATTAAGCCACATCATCCTGGAGAGACTAAAAGATGCTCTGGATTCAAAATTACGACCGGAACAGGTTGGCTGGCTGGCTGGCTGGCTGGCTTCAGGAAGAACAAATCATGTGCCGATCAAATTGCAACGCGACACTACGCATCATCATAGAACAGAGTATAGAATAGCAGTCAACTCTCTACTCTACTTCAACTTTATCGACTTCGAAAAGGCATTCGACAGAATCGACCGAGAAGTCATTTGTCAGGCAGCTGCTTCAACACTACGGTTTCAGTGCCACAAACCTTTATCAACCTCTTTCAACAAGTATATGTTATATGATGCTACATGCCAGGTGATTCACAACACAATGGAAAGCTCAGTGACGCCTTTGAAGTGAAGTGAAGTGAAGACAGGAGTAAGACAAAGCTGCTGCCTACTATCACCGATCATCTTCATGATTGTGGTCGACTGGATCATGCAGCGAACCGTGAGGAGCGACAAGATGGCTATTCACTGACTGGACTGATGAAGAGACCCCAGGAGAAGATTTGGATTTCACCGCCGATGATGATTTATGTCTAATGTCTTGTCGCACAAACTCGAAGATCTACCTAAAGGCGAAGAATAACAAGTTGACAGAAGCGGCGAGGCAGCGAGGGAAGACGGGACCTCCTTCAGGTGAACGTAGAGAAGACAGAGGTGATGAAAACACCCAATCAACAACAATCATCAATCACCATGAACGGGAGAAACTTAAACGAAGTTGTCTCCTTTCACCCACCCACCTACCTACCTAGGCAGCTTCGTTTCAACTACAGGCGGCGGTGGCACAGATGAGGATGTCAAAGCCAGGATACGAAAGACACCAAGACAGACCTTCCTTCATTAATCTGAAATCAGTGTGGAGATCTACTGCACTGCACTGCACTGCACTGAACACAGCATAAAGCGTGAACAACATCCGTATTTCCAACACCAAGTAACTTAGTGCTTCTATATGGTTCATTCGGAGACTTGACGCGTTATGAAAAGTATTTCCAACAAACTGAAGACATACATCATCAACAGCTGCCGCCTACGCTCACTCGATACTGACACTGAAAATCAGATTGCGAGAATAAGCAAGAAGGGGCTGTGTCTGGCTGGCTGGCAACGAACCAACAAACCAAGAACCTATAGCCCAACAAATATGCAGAAGAGAGTGGAGATGGATTGGATTGTACATACACTGAGAAAGAAGACCGTTTGGGGACATCATTCGCCAGGCCAGACCCACGAGTGTAACCCGAATGGGAAATGACGAGTTGGGTGTCCGAGGCGAGTGTGACGTGGGGGAGATGGTGTGAGAAAAAATGAGAGCTGGTGGGTAATTGTGGAGTGAAGTTGAAAATACTGTAGAGTGAAATGGCGACATGCTACTGAAACCCTTCCCATGTTCCACTGAGAACTTGAAGGACAGATAATAAACATTACTATAAAATCTGAGCAAGTTTGGTATGTGTTTTGCGCGTGTCAAGTGTGAGATGCTGATCGAGGAGTGGTATGCACCTACTCCTATATTAAGGATATGGGTAGTGTGTTGGTGGTACGTGTCGACCACTTCACCTACATGGGGACTAACATCAGCCCGAACGGTTGCATTGGTGATAAAATTTCAGCTTGGATACACCAGGTGCGATTGATATTTGCGGACATGCGTGATCTCTGGCACCGGTTGGCGAGATATCCGACTACGCATCAAAGGATGAATATACTACATTACAGTCTATTATGTGCTCGAATATGGCTGTGAGACATAGGCATTGAAGGTAGAAGACATGAGGCTGGTAATGGGTTTCGATCTTTGTTGTGGTTGTTGAAATAAGCATGTTAGGAATGTTGAGGTTAGAGGATGGGTACGAGGCAATTGAGACAAGTCGATTGATGAGGTTGTTCACTGTGAGTAAGTGAGATGGTTTGAAGATGTGTTGCTCATGCTGAGTAGGGGACCGCCTACGTCGAGATGGCATGCTAGGCTGGGGCAAGTTGGAAGAGATTTCAGTGTTGCCAAACGAAGATGTGGCATCAGTCGATGAAGTCGCCTACTGTTGGTGTGATTTGTGTGAGGAGATGTAGACTACCTGGTTTAGGTGTCTGAGATGATAGGAATGAGTGGTTGAGGACTGTTGGTGGCATGCTGAAAATCGGTGACAATGGCACACATGTATTCACTCCTTGACATCTTCTCAAGCTCGAATATTCTCACTAACATTTTTCTTCAAATTGTTTATTCTTTCATACTTCTTTTTCTACTCTGATATCACTCTTCCTATATTTATATGTTTTCGATATACTGCTCTGAATTTTGGTAACCTGAACTGATGCACCTTTGTGAGAGTTTTTGCTTTGATTTTGCCTACCTGTCTTCCTAAACTCTTCTGTCGACTTAGCCTCGCAGCGTTTTACTTCCTGGCCCTATACGAAATCTTCAACTTGACTTCGTTTGCCCTAACTATGGAGTCTCGTTGAGCCAAGGGTATATGTGAGACAGGTATACACAGCCGATGTGTAGTAATTCACCCGGCTAATGTGGTAGATCCACGATATTCACCTTAAGAGTGTGCGGTGATTTTATGGCTGAATGTGGCGGGCTCACTGGTGTAAGCAAGGCATGAAGTTGTTTACCAGAAATCCTATTCTCGACTGAATACCAGTCGAAAGCCGTTTGTATGATATCCGAATGATGAATGGGTGTGTAAGGGCTGGAGAGGATTGTGACACTTGCCGATGCGTATTCGTTATATTGGCCCGGCCCATGCAGCCATCGAATGGAGTTCGGTTGATACAAAAGATAAATTTCATCTAAATTTATCATTTTCGTTACATGAAGCAATATGTTCAGACCTAGCGTTAATATTAGATGGCTTGAACACTCAAGTTGGGAAGCTGAACCAGTTGGAGAGGCGTCGTCGAGGTGTCTGTCCCATCACGTGTCAACGAACTGAAAGCGGTGATCGTCTATTGCAACTACCTTTTGGTATTCTCTTATTTCTGGTTAGCACTAGGTTCAAGCATGAGGAAAACGTGTTTGGCTTGGCGTCCACCGACATCAATGGCACTGAATGGATCATATTGCTATGAGCCATCGTTTGACAGGAGCGATCGGGGGATTGAGCACTTTATGGAGCACTTAATTTGACTTCAATCTCGTGTTTGTACGGGTACGTGTAAGTTCGCTCCTTACTGGTTTCAGGAAGCAGGTTGTCAGTGGAGTTTGTGTGTGCCATAATGGAAGATTAGAGCACGTATTTACTGTGGAGATAGCCAAGCACTTATCCAAAAGTGACAGGAATTCTTTTTGTGAGTGCACCTGAGATGATAGTAACTTTGCTGTATAAACAGTGATAAAGGCAGTTGGTAACACACACCCAATGGTAAGTCGAAGCCAGCTGATTCCTGCAACCTTATCCGAACTGATTGATGCGAGAAGAAAATTCGCAACTAACTCTGATTGAAAGCAGGAGCGAAAACAGACCAAACGTAAATCGACTACGAAACTTGCCAGAGGTTGCGAGAATCGGTGGGTGCTGAAAGTGAGAGATGTAGACAATATGTCAGTACTAAGTAATACTCAAAAATTATTTAGGCTTATGCACCTGTTTATACCTGAAGTTCTTGGTGGATAGAAATAAGTGGTCTTCTGGGCTTAGTTGTAGTAGGCGATGGTCGTTATATATCCTTCGTTCTGGTGGGATTCCTAAAGCCCCACCCAACTATGAGCCCATCTGTATGAATTGGCCAACTCATTTGTCCAACGATAAATACGTCTGAGCGTTTGAATTTCGATGGGAGGCTAGACAGTTTTCGGTAGATCTCATCCTCCACTTCATCAGAAATGCAGTAAGTGTATACGTGAGCAGAGAGAGATAGAGACAGAGACAACATCGAGTTCCACTGCTCTTTTAGGTCTTCAGTGTGCCATTCAATAGGACAGCACATTGATGATTGTCAACTGGGATCCAGTCGAGCAGGACGCTTTCTGCCTTACTGCTCAATGCCATACACACAACTACAAAACCGCGAGCACTGGCCATCGAATCTTGAGAAACTGGACAGGTGAACTTTACGGGTTCAACATATTGGATGGATGAGGTTAAGTGAATAAGCACACTTCGGTCCTGTGTGTGTACTTCACAAATACAGGATACATACTTGGTCTGAGTGTCTAGAGTTTTGGATAGTGAAGCTTGTTCTACCGATTCGAGAGAGGGGATGGACAATGAAAGCTCGTATGTGTATTTTGGTGTACGATTTCAGGTACCCAGCGATGTGGTTCGTTGGACTCAGATTGTTGCGAAGAGCTGCAGAGCTGGAATAGACTAAAGGTGATGTAGGATTATTGACTGAGAGACAGAAGGGGAGATTCGAAGTTAAGTATGTGAGAGATGGAGAGTTATTTGGTAAACATGAAGGCTGACATATCTATTAGGATGGTTGACACTTGCCTGCTGCCCTCAAAGTGGAGAGGTATATCTTTGTGAGATTGCTGAGAGAGAAGGGTTAGCGCGTATTCGGACAGTCAGCAGGGCATCAGCTTGAATCCAGTCACCTAAGACCTTTTGAGGAGTCTGAGACATAAATGATTTTCCACCCTATGATTTGAAAAAGTATGGTGTGGAATTGGTGAGTAGAGTAGTGGCAGTATTAATTAATGTATGGGATTCTGAGGCAGTCCCATCGGATCGGTCTGCTTGACTGATCATCCCTGTCTAGAGGAAAGGAGATGTGAAGTCTGGTTGTGACATCCGTAATGGAATCAATTTGGATAAGATTATATCGACTGTCCTGTGGAACAAAGTTATCCGATGCGTGAGTGTAGCTGAGGGATAGCAGAGGCAGAGAAAACAGTCAGATTTCATACGTGGATAAAAGTGCGTCGATGGTGTATCCACTGTTCGTAAAGCTGTTTGACACGAGCATGGTTACGAGCAGCTAACTTTGAGACATTTCTTGACGTGAACGTGGCATTTGACTCTGTTGAGAAAGATGTGATGGAGTGGAGAGTTGTGAGTACAACTGATGAGACGTGTTTGTGTCTGCCAGTGATGACCAGGATGAGCGTATCTGGTAAACTTCGTTGTAGATGTATTTGGAGCGACAGCGATGAGTGCGTCTTGTATCAGGGGCAATTATCTGCAGCCGACAGGGAATCTGATTAACTTGAACTACGCAGACATCATTGTCTTGAAGGACAAAGACACTGAGGAAGTGTGTTGTTCAGTCAACACGTTGATGAGGAAGCTGTGTATGTTTGGCTGTCTGGCTGGCCTGTGTTTCTCATTTGTCATGTTGAAGATGATGTTGAGGATTGATTTGCGACTACTCGAAGTTTACGAATGTAGAGTGAAGTGGTGAAATGCGTTGATCACGTCACTTACATGGGGATTATCATCATCAGCCTGAACAGGTTGTTTGGTGATGGGATGGATGTCAGGTGGATTATAGTTCGCTTTACGAGGTAGTGAAGCTGATACTGGCATGGAAAAGAAGATGATTGACGAGACCACCACCAAAGTAGAGGAGGCTCTGACTATATCTGAGTACTGGCGACTACAACCCAGGTCAGATCACTCTGAGGCATAGTTGAAGCGATCGACAGCAACGCTGTAGTTGCTGAGTATCCAGTCAATCGACACATGAATGAGATGCTGATATCGATTTTGCGAATGTCATCGAAGTTCAGAAGGCCGTATCAAAACGGAAATGATGCGAATCAGCAGGTCGTGACAATTTTCCATGACATGAATTCAAAATCTGTGGTTTCATTATCATCAAATCATCAAAATCAACATGAGACCAGGCATTGTTGCGTAACACTCCGAGTTGGCGCAGCTCATATCAGTACATGAAGTAAGACGGCAGTGAGGTGCAAGATGAAGATAAGAATATTCGGTCAAAATAAATATGAATTACGATAAGAGATAAATGAAGAATGAGAAAATGGTGATATTCGGTATAGCGTCGTTGAGATGAGCATAACGTATGTATACATCTTGGCCACTGACATTGGTTCCGAGTCATACCACCTGGAGTCTCCAACCGCTGATTCCTCTTGTCCTGACGACCCCAATCCCCCGGTCTGCATCGCCCCACATGGCTCAAACCAACAGTCAGAGACTTCATACATTAGGTGCCATGTTCTAGTCCGACCACCTCGAGCCTTTTTACAGCCTTAACCTACTTCAGCCAACATTGTGTGACGAGGCACACGTAATACGTGTCTCAACCATCTCAGTAGATGAAGGTTCATAACCGTATCAACTGACTTACCTCTTCTCCCTGAGACTCTACACCGGACTTCCGCGTTACTCATGTGGTGACACCATGGAATACGGCCTATACTACGAAGGCAACGGTGGTCAAACACTTGAAGCCTTCTCATGTCTTCCACCTTGAATGGCCATGTTTCACAGCCACACATTTGTAGAACACACCGGACTGCTGTGCAGTACACGCGACGCTTAATAGACAATCGGATATCACGGCGGCGTAAGTTGGTAAAAGCCAGCCAGCCGAGTCTCTTGCATCCGGGCAGTAATTTTCATCGGCCACTGAGCCACTAGCGCAGGCTTGATCCTACTTCCCAGGTGAGTGAAGTGGTCGACACACTCAACCACTACACTCTCTATTGTAGTTCAGAGACTTCATCGACTGATGCCACATCTTCGTTTGGCAACACTGAAATCTCTTCCAACATGCCACAGCCCAGCATGCCATCTTGACGTAGGCGGTCCCCGACTCAGCATGAGCCACAAATAATGAATGGCACACTGAAGACCTAAAAGAGCAGTGGAACTCGATGTTGTCTCTGTCTCTATCTCTCTCTGCTCACGTATACACTTACTGCATTTCTGATGAAGTGGAGGATGAGATCTACCGAAAACTGTCTAGCCTCCCATCGAAATTCAAACGCTCAGACGTATTTATCGTTGGACAAATGAGTTGGCCAATTCATACAGATGGGCTCATAGTTGGGTGGGGCTTTAGGAATCCCACCAGAACGAAGGATATATAACGACCATCGCCTACTACAACTAAGCCCAGAAGACCACTTATTTCTATCCACCAAGAACTTCAGGTATAAACAGGTGCATAAGCCTAAATAATTTTTGAGTATTACTTAGTACTGACATATTGTCTACATCTCTCACTTTCAGCACCCACCGATTCTCGCAACCTCTGGCAAGTTTCGTAGTCGATTTACGTTTGGTCTGTTTTCGCTCCTGCTTTCAATCAGAGTTAGTTGCGAATTTTCTTCTCGCATCAATCAGTTCGGATAAGGTTGCAGGAATCAGCTGGCTTCGACTTACCATTGGGTGTGTGTTACCAACTGCCTTTATCACTGTTTATACAGCAAAGTTACTATCATCTCAGGTGCACTCACAAAAAGAATTCCTGTCACTTTTGGATAAGTGCTTGGCTATCTCCACAGTAAATACGTGCTCTAATCTTCCATTATGGCACACACAAACTCCACTGACAACCTGCTTCCTGAAACCAGTAAGGAGCGAACTTACACGTACCCGTACAAACACGAGATTGAAGTCAAATTAAGTGCTCCATAAAGTGCTCAATCCCCCGATCGCTCCTGTCAAACGATGGCTCATAGCAATATGATCCATTCAGTGCCATTGATGTCGGTGGACGCCAAGCCAAACACGTTTTCCTCATGCTTGAACCTAGTGCTAACCAGAAATAAGAGAATACCAAAAGGTAGTTGCAATAGACGATCACCGCTTTCAGTTCGTTGACACGTGATGGGACAGACACCTCGACGACGCCTCTCCAACTGGTTCAGCTTCCCAACTTGAGTGTTCAAGCCATCTAATATTAACGCTAGGTCTGAACATATTGCTTCATGTAACGAAAATGATAAATTTAGATGAAATTTATCTTTTGTATCAACCGAACTCCATTCGATGGCTGCATGGGCCGGGCCAATATAACGAATACGCATCGGCAAGTGTCACAATCCTCTCCAGCCCTTACACACCCATTCATCATTCGGATATCATACAAACGGCTTTCGACTGGTATTCAGTCGAGAATAGGATTTCTGGTAAACAACTTCATGCCTTGCTTACACCAGTGAGCCCGCCACATTCAGCCATAAAATCACCGCACACTCT